TAGAACCAAATTCTTGAGTTTACAAGTGATATGCATGTATTATTTTGGCATTGTGTATTCAGGATGCAGGCAGTATCAGGTGGCTTAAAGGGTCTCTGGCTCATTAACCAGAGGTTCATAACCTCTTTCTCTCTCTCTTTCTCTCTCTCTCTGTCTTTCTCTCTCTCTCTCTCTCTCTCTCTCTCTCTCTCCCACTTTCTCCCTATTCCTCTTGTTATGCCTTTCTACATTTTTTTTAATTGCACATCACTCCTGCCTTTCTACATTTTCTTAAAAACTCTGAAACTCAAAAATCCTCCTTGTTGAGAATCAAAGGTGATTTAGGTAATATACAAGAACAAGGCCAGAGGTGCCATCCTACTCTTACATGACACAAAACCCCCAAAGATACGAGACATGGAGATTTTTTTATCAGCCCTCAGAACCAACCCAGCCACACAGGTAGGAGCGCTTTAACTACCTGTGTTGGATTTGAGCTCTTCAGTTGGTCTTTTCTTAGCTCAAGTATTATTTCATTTAATTGTTTATTTACTTTTATTTATTGTAGTGGTACTAGGGCTTGCACTCAGGTCCTCACGCTCTTGCTTGACTTTTTCTCTTCAAGGCTAGTGCTCTACCACTGGAGCAACAGTTCCATTTCTGACTTTCTATTGGTTAATTGGAGATCAGAGACTCATGGACTTTAGTCCTCCAACTGGCTTTGAACTGTAATCTTCATATCTCAGCCTCCTGAGTAGCTAGGATTACAGGCATGAGCCACCAGCACCCAGGGAACAGCACAGTTCAGCTTTTAGCTAAAGCTCAAGACTAACCTTTAAATTTTTCATTTCTCTCCCTTTTTATTTCACTAATAGGAATTGTCTTCTATTTCTGAGCAGTCAATGGACCGCTGGGTGAGCCAACTTCCAAACAGAGGACAATTGAGTGCAAATAAATATCAGAGATAATGCGCAGAGCAATGAGCAACTGTGTTCTTGTTTTGTCTTGTTATCTGAGATGGGGACTTGGTACCTGATACTTTGGCTCACTGGCTAGCACCCTACCACCTGAGCCATACCACCAGTCCCAGAGCAAACATTCTTTACCAGTAGAGTTTTCTACCCCACCCTTGAAATTGATCTCCAGAAAATCTTCCCCATCTTTGCATTTGGATTCCAAAACATTCATTCGCTCATGACTGTTTCATTCATTCATCCATCCATCTATCCATATTCATTGTCAGTGAAAGTCTACCCCATGCCAGGACTTGTTTCAGTCTCGGAATGATCAAACAGGCTGAGTCTCTGCTCTCAGAGAGCTGCCATCTATCTGGAAAGGGGGTAAGATTGTCATTCTATGATAAAATAAAGAAGAGAGACATTGCCATTTGGGTAAGACAGGGAGGACGTTGTTTCTAAAGTGGAAGAAGGTTGGTCCAGTGAAGCATCTGGGAAGAGGTACAGATTTCTTCCTCAGTTTCTTCACAGATGTTACGGGTTGAATTGTATCATGGTGTAGTCCCAAACCCTAGTATCTCAGAATGTGATTTAGATCAAGTTAAAATGAGTTCTTGGGCTGGGATGTAGCTCAGGGGCAAAGCCCTTACCTAGCAAGTGCAATGTCCTGGGTTTGATCCTCAGTACCAAAAATAAAAAAAGAGAAAAAAAGAGGTTCATAGGAAAAAGCATTAATCCAATACAACTGGTATCCTTGTGAATAAATTAATAAATAAAAGGAAGGGGTGGGGGAGGGTGGACAGGGAGACACACATAGAAGGAAAAATGCCACGCAAGGTGAAGGCAGAGATCACTGCGATGCATTTACAATGTGGCAAACACTGCCAGCAAACTGCCAAGAGATAGGAGAGAGTTACGGAACAGGTTTGCCTTCACAACCAGCCCTGTCAACTCCGTGATCTTCTACTTTGGGCCTCTAGAACTGTGAGACAATATTTGTCGTTGAAGCATGATATTTTGTTATGTCAGTCCTAGCAAACCAACTAGCACTGCAAAGATCAGAGGCAGACCCCCACACATCCACCAGGATGACAGGACAACACATGTCTGATTACAAGGAGCCTCCTAACTGGACTTTGGGTTTCCAGTATTTTTTTTTCTTTTCCCTAAACCATGCTCAATCGTACATGCAATATACTTTCTCACAGTTTTACAACCTTACAGCTGCCCCTTCAGGTCCCAACCCGATTTTCTCAGCTTTGAGATAGAGTCTTCATGGGTTTATCTATCTATGTCTCTTATCTTTGCATTGTTAACTCCTTAACCAGGCATTTTCCAACTCTGGTCCTAGTGGTCAAACTTTTCTTCTTCTTGCAGGCTCAATGCAGTCACCATGTCCGCTGGAAAGCTTCCTGACACCTCTAAGACAGGCCCTGGTGTCCCTGCAGGGTGCTCTGGGAAGCCCTGGCATGAAAGTTCTTGTCCTGACATTCATCACAGAATGTCCAAGGCCTGTTGGTGTGACTCCTCCTCTTGACCATGTGCTCTTATCTTGTTTGTATCTCCTGACACTAAGAAAATTCCTGGCACTTGGAAACACCTATAGGATAAACCAGAATAAATGAACAAAGCTGCTGGTCCCAGAAGTCTTTCTTCTCCCCGCCCCATCCCCTTTAAGGGGTGGGGGAGGGGTAAGTGACCTTTCCAGAGATTTCTCAATATGTATGAAGCCCTAGAACTGGATGGTGTGGCTGTGTCTTTAATGGTTTTGAGAGGAATTTAGACATTCAAAAGCTGTTCCTTGTGTCGCAAGACAACTGCAGAATAAGGGAAGTAAACCTATCCAGCAATTTTTGAATAAAGGTGAACCAATATTTTAGCATCTTTTAAAAAAAGGGGTGGGGGTGGGGGGCATCTTCAGGTTTCTTCCCCGCCTCTACCTCCCTTGGCACATGTCTAACCTATAGATAAAGGTGGGGGTGGACAGCAGAATAGGGAATTGTTGTGACCAAGCCATCCAACGGGGCCTCTTCTCAAGTCTCCTAAAAGTAAATATTTTTGAGGTTTCAAATTATTTGCATGCATGGTTATAAATGCCAAAGAGCTGGAAAAAGGAGAGGAAGACAGAGGAAAGTGTGTGCTGGTGGTGGGGTGGGGGTGGGCAGTATTTTTAGACACAGGAGTAACGGTTGAAAAGAATCAGGATTTGGGTGTCTTTTGCGAATTACTGAATGGGGACATACATCTGAATCCCCCCCCCCTTCAGAAGTCTTGTGGGCTAAGAGAGAGAAAAAGGAGTGGGGGGGGAAGAGGGAGGGAGAGTGGGGGAGGGGAGAGGAGAGGGGGGAGAGGACTCCTCTCTGCAACAGGAAGTCTTCAATGGCTTTCGAGTTCAGAAGAAGCCGCTCAGCCCTGAAGTCCTTATTCCAAGCGCGGATTTCTCCCCCCGCCCCCCCCTCCCACACACACATAAAGAACGATCTGAAAGCTCGGGAGCCACTCCTCCTCCTGGTGTTGGGGAAACAGCTCGGCTGGCCGGTGCGAGAAAGCCAGCCCAGCTCCTCGCGGCGACTGGGTGGTGGCCGGGACCCGGGTGCGGGGTTTTATTTGCAAGTCAATGAGCCAAATGGGCGAACGGGCTCGTGGGGCCGCGTTCGGCAGGCAGGGTTATTATTATCGCCTATTGCTCCACTGAACAATTTCACTGAAAAGAAAGAGTCCCAGCCGAGTGTGTGTGCGCGCGCGCGTGTGCGCGTGTGCGCGCGTGCGCGCGCGCCCTGCGGGACGGCTGCCGCCACGGCCCCCCCATCCAGAACGACTTTATTTACAAAGCGATCACCGTGTTATCTATTTGTTTTCCCTTTTCCAGCGACCAGCGGCCGCCCTACCCAGCCCTCGAATTTCTTCATTACAAACCCGTTTGCTTCTTTAAAAATAAACCAACCCCAAGCTGCCAGGCAGAGCCCAGAGGGAGGTTGTGCAAGTTTGCACACACACACACACACACACACACCCCACCCGGATCAAGGGCAGCAGCAGAAGAAAAGTAACTGTGTATGTGCAAAAAGGTGGATCTGGGGACGGGGATCGCTGAGTTTGTTTACAGAGCACAGACGCCTCAGCTCGGATGCCAAAGCTACCAAGAGCTGCAAATGCAAACTTAGTAGAAGCACACGTACCCGGCGGCGCAGAGCCGGCCCCAAAGTGCGGACCGGATTCCCCGGCGCGGGGAACGGAGGGCCCCGGGCCCCGCAAAGCCAGCGCGCTCGCTCCACCTGCCGCTCCCCGCCCCGAGAACTCCCGTCCTTGAAGGGGGGGGCGGCGGCGGGGAGGAATCGGTCTCTACGCAGAGTAATCCACATGCAGCTTCTTGGCCGCCCCCTAGAAAAGCACAAAGAATAGTGCCCGGGAACGCTCACCCGAGGTGGAGAGGGCATTACTTGTCTAGGGCTTTCCACGCACCCCCCCCCCGCCCCGCAGCCTAAGCAGGCGTTTGCAAGGTCTAGGAAGCCGAGAGGGAGCCGCGCTGGGCGGACGGGAGGCGTGGGGCGGTTGAACCCCCTTTTCCTGTAGAGGGCAGACCAGATCGCTGGGCGAACCGACTGCGAGGGCTGCGGGGGTGGGGTAGGGAGGGGAGGAGTGGGGGGGCGCTGGAGGACCCGGAGGTCTCCTCGCTTCTCGCGAGCAGGCGCTGCCGTCTGCGGCCAGGCGGAGGGTATTATCTACCCCCCGCCCCGCCCCTGCTTTCGGCCAGGTGGCAGATCCGGCCCTGGTGTTTCTCAGCTAGAAGGAAACCCGAGTTCGGGGCGCTGCCAGGCGGCTCCGGGGCGCACAGCCTCTGTCTCTGCCCCCCCCCCCCCCCCCTCTCTCTCTCTCTCTCTCTCTCTCTCTCTCTGCGCACGTGCCGCTGGCCGCGCGGGGACGCCGCAGCTCCCGGAGCCGGTCCGTGATTCCGGAATCCGTGTGTTCGCATCACCCGCCCGGGCGGCCTTGGCTCCGCCCTTCCCGAATCCCTTATATTAACCGTGGCCAAAGCCCAGAGAAACACAGCTCATTGTTGGCAGCTGCCGGGCGGTCCTGCGGAGCGGGCGGGCGGGCGAGAGCCGGCGGAGAGGGGAATCAAAGGGACGGCTGCGACTCGGCTGCGAACCCTCGGCACCGACAGCGCTGCGGCCGGCGCCCGGCACGCCTCGAAGGCTTCTCCCCCCATCCCGCACCCCGCACACCTATGCGCGGCTGAGCCGGTCCTGGACCCGTCGATCCCGCCCTCGGTCTTCGGAGCAGAAATCGCCAAGACGGAAGGTGAGCGCGCGGCGGCGGGCGGGTGCACCGGGGCCCGTGGGGCGGCCGGGGAGGGGCGGGGGACCCGCTGCCAGCGCCGTCCCCCGCGGGGGGCAGGGTTTGCCCGGAGGAAGAGCGCGAGGCGGAGCCGGGGGAATAACAACAGGATGTGCAACAACAGGATGAGGAGGGCTGCTTTCGTGCCTGAAGTTCGCGGCCGGGCTACGGGGCACTTCCTTTATTAGGCCACTTCGGGGAACACCGGAGGAGGAGGAGGAGGAGGAGGGGTGGGCTCGGGTGACCTCCCCCCTCCCCGCACCACCCCGATCGCAGGGGCCGGGGGACATGGCGCAGCGGCCCCCGGCTCTGCCCTGGCTGTAGGTCCGCTCAGATGGCAAGCCGGGCTGGCACGGGCTGGAGCGGTGGGCATCCTGGACCCGAGGGGGAGCCGCGCGGGAGGGCGGGCGCCCGGTGGCGAGAGAGGGCTGGAGGGGCCAAGTGGGGTGCGCCGGGGTGGGCGACACGTGTGGCGCGCGGGTCTCAGCAGCGTCTGCCTCCCCCCCTCCCCGCCCTCCTCTCCACCACCCCCCTCTGCCCTTTCAGGACTGGAAATGGCAGACCATATGATGGCCATGAACCACGGGCGCTTCCCGGACGGCTCCAACGGGCTGCACCACCACCCGGCCCACCGCATGAGCATGGGGCAGTTCCCGACCCCGCACCACCACCAGCAGCAGCCCCAGCAGCAGCCCCAGCACGCCTTCAACGCCCTGATGGGCGAGCACCTACACTACGGCGCGGGCGGCCTGAACGCCACCGGCGGCATCCGGCACGCCATGGGGCCGGGGACGGTGAACGGGGGGCACCCGGCCGGCGCGCTGGCCCCCGCCGCCAGGTTTAACAACTCGCAGTTCCTGGGCCCCCCGGTGGCCAGCCAGGGCGGCTCGCTGCCCGCCAGCATGCAGCTGCAGAAGCTCAACAACCAGTATTTCAACCATCACCCCTACCCCCACAACCACTACATGCCGGATTTGCACCCCGCCGCGGGCCACCAGATGAACGGGACCAACCAGCACTTCCGAGATTGCAATCCCAAGCACAGCGGCGGCAGCGGCGCGCCCGGCGGCTCGGGCGGCAGCGCCACCCCCGGGGGCTCCGGTTC